GGCCGGCTCCCTCCCCCGCAGTGTCCTCTGTGGACAGCAGGGGGCAGTAGCCGTGCTGGCTGGGTGAGCCTGCACTGACTGGAGCAATGCGGGGTGACACCAAACCTCAGAACGCGGGGTTCTCCCGTCTTCTGTGCCACCACATCTGGAATTTTTTAATAAGTTTGTAGATGCTGTAGCTCATGCTGGCAGCCATAGCCCACAGCTGAGTCCGGAGCCCGGTGGCCGGCGTCCCCCTCCTGGTCCTTCCTCAGTCTCCGGGAGCCCCGTGCAGGCGTCTGTGTGTCTCCCCCTCGGGCGGTGGAACGTTGAGGGAGGAATCACATCTGGAATTCATTCACTGAGTCCATAGTTCTTACCGTGCTTGAAATAGGGAACCAAAATAAAAGGCCAAACCAATGGCCGCGGAGTCGATTCTGACTCACCGTGAGTGACCCTGTAGGACAGAGTGGAACTGCCCCATAGGGTTTCCAAGGAGCAGCTTGTGGATTCGAACTACCGACCTTTTGGTTAGCAGCCGAGCTCTTAACTACTGCTCCACCCAGGGATACCAAAATGGGGCACCAAAATGAAAATACCCGCTCTGGTAAGGCATTTTAACTAGCAGTGTGAGTGTGTCCTGGAGCCAGACAGAGCTGGGTGAGTCCCGCACCTACCCCCCAAAGAGCCAGGTGTGCTTTGGGCCAGCTGCTCCCCCGCTGAGCCCCAACTTCCTCATCCGTCAAATGGCAGGGACACCAGTACCCCCCCCAGGCCTCTGGGAGTGCACAGTGGCACAGCCATTGCGTCACCCAGAACAAAGCCAAGCGGCAATCCACAGAGCTGTCCCAGGCCGTGCCTGTCAAGTGGTAATATCAGGCTTGAACTGGTGAGATTTTCTTTTTAAAAATTGGGCTAGGTTAACAAGATGCGTTGCTAGGTGCTGTCCAGTCGGCTCCAACTCATAGCGACCCCACGTACAACAGAACCAGACTGCCCGATCCCGCGCCATCCTCACCATCATTGTTTTAGCCCATTGTTGCAGCCACTGAGTCAGTCTATATTGCTGAGGGTCTTCCTCTTTTTCACTGACGCTCTGGCAAGCATGATGTCCTTCTCCAGGGACTGGTCCCTCCTGATGACATCGAAAGATGAAGTCTAACCATCCTCGCTTCTAAGGAGCATTCTGGATGTACTTCTCTCAAGACAGATTTGTTCGTTCTTCTGGCAGTCCATGGTATATTCAATATTCTTCGCCAACACCACAATTCAAAGGCGTCTATGCTGTAGCCTGCCTTATTCATTGTCCAGCTTTTGCGTGCCCGTGAGACGCATTAACCAAAACAAAACCTGTTGCCGTCTAGTCGATTCCAACTTACAGCAACCCTGTAGGAAAGAGAACTGCCCCATAGGGCTTCCAAGGCTGTAATCTTTACGGAAGCAGACTGCCACATCTTTCTCCCACGGAGTGGCTGGTGGGTTTGAACCGCTGACCTTTTGGTTAGCAGCCATGTGCTTAACCATTGCGCCACCAGGGCTCCTTATGAGACTCTTGACTAAAAAAAAAAGCAAAGGCGATGACCTTACACAGCGTGAATGTTGCCTCTAAGGCACCTATGACTGCAGATGACTGTGGACAGGTGACCTTAGACCCGCCCCAGGCGGAAGGCTGCTCCCGGGCCCGTAACCACAACGCTGCTGCTCATCCCAGAGGCTGGCGGTTCGCTGGGGAACTTCTTTGTCCCATTTGTCACAGGAACACGGCTGTTCGATTAGGTCCTGGGGCTTGACCCTGACTCTGCCTCTCAGGGGCCCCAAGCACCTGCCCGCCTGCCTCCCAGTCAGCCCCGCCTCCCAGCCAGCACCCATCTTGACCTTGGTTTACAGGCCGCCCTGGCCCCTCCCGCCCTGACCCGCTCCTCAGAGCTCGTGCTGTGTGGGCTCAGGAACAGGACCTCCCGGCCAAGCCCCCAGGGGAAGGGCGTCTGCAGATTGTGAAAGGGGGACAGGCAGGACCAGTAGGGCCTGGGTGGGACCCAGGGGCTTTTGATCACACTGTACAGGTGAAGTCCACCTCCTCTACATTCCCAGGTGTGCCTTCGGGCGAATCTCTGAGGGTCTGCCGGCTTCTACACCTGTGAGATAGAAGTGATACCAGAACCTTCTGCAGAGGGCGCTGTGTGATTCCTCAAGCTGACAGAGGTCTAGAGCAGTGCCTGCCAGGCACCGCCAGAGAGGGTTAGCCTAGTATTATGGGGTACTTCCAAGGGG